GGTGTTTTTGTCCATACAAAATTTACACTCGGCCACACTTTCATGTTGGTTGAGTTATGTGGCTCTCTCTGGCAGGGCTGCAGGAGGGGAGCTTTGATGTGAAGCCATAAATGTCTCAAAGAGAACAGCCAAGGCTGCATACTGCAGTGTAGGTTGAGGCAGGATACTGAGGTCAGCAGTGATACACTGTGCGGCAAGGTGAAGACAGGTACCACTGATCCCGTGCAAAGCAAAAAAAGGAAGTAGAGGAGAAACCCAGAGGATGACAAATTGTTGTAGTCAGAAACAGTCTAATTCCTGAGCTGAAGCTTCCGGTGTGATGAACGCAGAAGTAGGAACTGGACAAGGCTACATTTTATAAAGAAGACTGAAGTGTGCCCACGGAATATTGCAGGTATAAACAGTGGAAACTAGGTGTTGCCCCTGGTGCCCCTATGTTTGAAAGAATGCTACAAAAGTGCACTCTTGGATGCCCCTATGGTAGATAAAACATAATAAAATGCCCTCTAGGGTGGTTCTTCCAGTGGAGAAAACATGACGAGGTGCTCTCTAGGGCAGTGGTTTCCAACCTTTTTTCTTAATCATACATACAAATAGCATTAGCTTGTGGCCATGGATCCTCTTTTGCAATACAATAAGATTTTGACACGTTATATATTCCTTATATAAAATATAATTAGGAATTTTGTAATAAGGCACATAATAATAGGGTAGTAATTTAGGTGGCTGTGGCTCAGAGGCACAGCAGGTTGTCCCCTAATCGGAAGGTTGGTGTTGGAATTCTTATCTTAAGTATAAACTTTAAAAAACAGTGCTGGTTAAAGAATACCAGGTGAAAGCAGTTAAACAGTTTCACTGAAAGCAGTTGAAATGTCAGTTGTATGTACTGATATAAAAAGTGGAAACAGGAGAAAGGTGAGAAATTGTTGCAGTTAGGAGTTAGGTTGCTGCTGATGAAACTTCCAGCATGATGAATGCAGAAGAATGAACAGGAGGAAGAGTCGCCCTTCATTTTTCCTCAGCTTAAAAAAAGTGGAGAGAGACGGCAGTCTGACTAAAAGTTCAGGAGGGGCTATGAAGACAGATCAGCATTTTTTTACCGTGTGTGCTGTGTATGAGAACACGTGTGAATATACAGTATGTGTGTGGTAGATATGTGGTATGTAGAGTTCAGACTGTTGAAAAATCATTGGCTGGTTTATGTTTTCCAGAGGTACTGACTGTGGCTACACTGTTTACTGCTTACAACAACTAGACCTTCAGATGCTGAGTGCCTGCCAGAACAACTGTAGCATTTCCCAAAGACTCCCCCGATACGCGGCTCTAAATCTTAAAGGAGCATTTCAATGTAAATTATTAAGACTGCGTTGGTGGTCGATGCGGTTTTCTAAAACCATTTCTCAACTGTCAATGCTAAACACCAGCACACAGTTTATGGATTGGCTGCCTGCTGCTTGGCAAACATTAAAGAACTAAATTGGACATTACACTAGAAGCAGCCCACTCCAGATTCCTCCTGGACAACATCAGGCAAAAAGATCTACATTAAAATGGATTCATAGTCTGATTGGCTTACCCTGACATTCTTACCCTGACCGAACCAATCTCACTGCTCATGCCTTAACCTTACCAACCAAACCAAACCAATAAAGGCAATGAGTACTGGCAGAGTAGGGTGGGCCGTGACTTCGCCATCCTGGGAAAAAAATTGCTATATACTAGTCTTGTCTGTGTCGAAAAACAACATTTTGAAGATGGTTAAAAACATGAGCGACATATAAATAGTCACATCTTGTTAGCTAATGTGAACGAAACATTTGCTAACTAACGAAGAGTAAAAAGGGGCGGGACTTAGCATGGGTAAATTATCCAGCCCCAGTACAATGTCAGAGCACAGATCTGAAAAAAAAAAACAGAACACAAATTATAGCCTTAATAAAATTACATTTTCTGTTTTGTTATTTTAGATTTTTTTGGTAGCTTGTCAAAAATATCTATGTGGCTGGGGTTCTGCTTAGGAAATTTGGACAGTATTAATAAAATCCTGGCTACTGATCTGGCTGCTGTCTGTCTTTTGTTTAACCTCCCCAAGTTTTCCCACACGTCTCTACTTATCCGTTCACTGCACTGGCTCCCTGTTGCAGCTTGTATCCACTTCAAGACTCTGTGTCTGACAGCGCCTACCTCCAAGCCATGGTCAAACCCTGTCCTCACCTCTGGGTGATCCTCTGTGAACCATGTGGTTGCTCATCTCCGCCAAGACTCTGATCACACAGTGGTGAACTGAACTGCGCATGAATTCAGGACTGTCACTGCTCATCTTCCACCACAGACTGAAATCCACCTTCTCAGACTAACCTAACCCCATACACCTAGCACTTACTAATGTCTCATGTCAAGCAAAAACAACCCTGCACCTATTGTGCTGTAAGTTGTTGTGGCTTGAAGCTTGTCACCCTGGAGGAGGTGGTGGAGGAGAGGATGCTGGCAAAACTGCTGGCAATCATGGACAATCCCTCCCACCCCCTCCACACAACACTGGACAAGCTAAAGAGCAGCTTCAGCAACAGACTCATTCAACCACGCTGCTCTAAGGAACGATATAGAAAATCGTTAAAACTTTATTTATCCCGAGGGAAATTCAAGTATCCAGTAGCATACGAGACATACATACATTAAACATACATTAAACCTAAATTAAAATAAAATTAACCTATAACACAGTAGCCACAGTAAACAGTGCAAAACAATAAACAGTGCAAATGGAGTGGAGTGCAAATGGAAGTAAAACAGTGCAATTGGAGGTAGACATTGTCCATTGTCTATTATCTATTGTCCTCCCTGCCTTTACTGAGAGCTGTTGTACAGTCTGATGGGGGACGAAAGAGTTTTTAAGTCTGTTGGTGGAGCTGGACTGGGACAGCACTCTGCCACTGAACACACTCCTCTGCCTGGTGAAGGTGTCGTGCAGAGGGTGGTGGGCGTTGTCCAGTATGGACAGCAGTTTATTTTTATGTTCCATAGAGAGGCTGTGTTGATGTGTCTTTTCAATTAAAAAATCACCAAAATGTTATTTGTCAAGAGGTGCCTTCAACATTCACAACTGTATGTCCATTACAATACACAACAATTGGACTACAGTGACATCTGATATGACATTGATTACACACAAAAAAACCAATTTATAACATCTGTTGCTCTGTTGTACATGTACAAGTACATGACTGCTAACTAGATTTGGTTCAGGCCTTATAAAGCAACACTCAACATCATTAATGGGGGTTCAGGGCAGGCACACTGTTTGTGTTGTTCTCTGAGTGCAAGGAAAATTACCAGAATCCAAGTTAAAGAGGCAGAGGTTTATACAAGATAAGACCCTCAAATGTGTTTAAACTGATATGCAGATCCAGACATTCCATTAGATCACTGCATAGTGTATGACACAGTGCTGGAAAACAGGCTTTATTCATCAAAATAATACCAGCAGTGGTACAGTACATGCCGCCTTACAAAATAATGTTTTGTTTAGATGTTAGTGTCAATCAGTCACTCATTCATCTGCTTCGTTGTCACATTATGTTGTTTTCAGATGATGAGAAACACTTTGATACATTGCGTTTCTTCAGCTGATACAGTGAACACTAAGATAATATTTGTCTGTTGCATCTTTTGAAATACATTTGTTACAACTACTGTGAACTTGACTGGCTGTGCAAATATACGTGATATGACAGATATGCTGCAGTCTGACAGGTTACTCTTTTACAGTGAAAATGGCAAACGATGGAAATGGGAATGAAAACTTTTACTCTAATTCTACACAAGTAGGAAAAAGTAACCAGAATGTGTTTTGATAATGAATACGTGTGGAACATTGTGGGGTTTTTTTTCATAATCCCACACCTGTACAACCAGGGGTGTTTGGAAACAGGAGGACAGCCGAGAACAGGCACGGATCAATCCTCCCTCTCTCTGTCGCTCCCTCTGGTTCTCCAGGTTCTCAGGGGCACAGAGCCCTGCATGGACCTTGCGAGAGGCTGTCTCAGGGCTGTAGAGCCAGAGTTTGGGTCAGGCTTGGAGGGCTGAGAGTCACTGGATCACTGGAATATGCTGGAGGCTGGCTGTGGGATTTGAGTTAGGCTCCGGGAGGCTAAAAGCTGGAGATATCAGAAAAACTGCATTTTTAATCCAATGAAAACTTATCTCAGAATTATGTGATAACAAGTTGTTAATTCAGAAAAATAGGTATGTTTTTGTAAATGCAATACTCTTCAGAAGATTTGTGCAAAACACTGTTTTGCTATATTAGATATACTCTCTATTTCCATTAGCTATACCTGCTAATCCTTATAAGGAGTACAGTCTAGACCTGCTCTATTTGAAAAGTGTCCTGAGATAACTTCTGTTATGATTTGGCGCTATACAAATAAAATTGAATTCAATTCAATTGAATCCTGTAGAGCAGTGGTTCAAGGCAGACGACCACCCACCTAGAGCCAGGGTCTGTCCTAGGTTTCTGCCTTTTAACAGGCAGTTTTTCCTTGTCCCCGTTGCCAAGGTCTTGCTCATGGTGGTACTGTTGGGTCTCTGTAAATAATGTTTTAAAGAGTTCGGTCTAGACCTGCTCTATTTGAAAAGTGTCCTGAGATCAGAATCAGAATCAGAATCAGAATTTGTTTATTGCCAAGTAGGTTTTTATGCCTACGAGGAATGTGACCTGGTGCAGTTGGTGCATAAAAATATATACATATACAAATACAAATATACAAATATACAATTATAGCTTCTGTTATCTGTTTTCTATACAAATACAATTGAATTGAATTGAATTGAAATGATTGTATATATTGATTTATTTTCTTTTTCTTTTTTAAGTCATTTAATGAATGATGTACTTTCATTTCGTTATACAATCTCCTGTTGTTTTATAATAAATACATTTCCGTGGTGTGGTCATGTGTCTCGCGAGGTTTAGCAGCATTGTCCGACACTCTCGCGTGATTTCCTTCAGACTGTCATGGCTGCCGCCAGGAAGCTTCAAATGTATGCTCTCTCTCCAACTGGGAAACACTCCGCCTCGGTTATCTTCCTGCACGGTTCAGGTGCTCAATAGTCTCTCATACTGTTCAGCGACTATTCGCTGCTTTCACTGTCCTTCTGTTCATCTGTGTGTCGTTGTTTTGTTCCGCTGCTGGCACTGTGGGTCGGATAGCTCAGCACAAAGCACTGAACCTACCCGTTTTATAACATCAGCTAACCACAGCTCATCAACTCACCGTAAGAGAATCACCGGCAGCGTTCATAAGAAGTACTTAAATATAAATATATATATATCACTGGATTGTAGTTAGTGCTACATTCATGTGTTCATCTTTAATGTTGCAGCTGGCAAAGGTTGTGGTCATTTAATGACTTTATTTCAGCTGGGTAGTTTAGCCTATAATGATACATCATCATTTATTAGTTGATTTATAGTTTGTGTTTGGGCTGTACAATTAATCCCCCAAAAATGTTATTGTGTAGAACTACAGTGAGAATGTTATGAACTCAGTGATTCAAGAGTCCTTTGTCGTTACATCTCTTTATATAAAATCCCACCATTCCACAGGCCGAGCATTTAACCAGGAACACATAGTCCTACTCTCACAATAAATTATTTACTGGGACAGACAAGGAAGTCTTGCCTGAAAATGTTGCACGTGACCAGGCTGTTAAATAGAGGATTATTATAGGAGAGATTTGACCTGGTGGAACTATTAACATGAATGATTGCTCTGTTCCTTTTTAGATAGATTCATCACAGCTGTGTTCTTCTTGCTATGATGTGAAAATGTTCTAAAATATTGTTAATTTCATCATGTGGAATTAAATTGAAAAGTGGACAGAGCAGTCTTCTTATTGTTATTATATTCCTCCCACTTATCTTCTGTTATTGTTTTATATAGCACATCTACTCCTCCACAAGGAAATGTAACTGTACCTTAACAACTAACAGTGAACCCAACTGGCCCTTAAATGCCTCCATTATTTTAATTAGTGGTTGGCTGTAATCACACAGCTGTCAGAGCTGTAGTCATATCTGTTGTATATTTATATACAGTGTTTCCTCTAGGATTTTTTTTAGCAGTGGGGGCAGGCCCGTCCGAACAACCTACATCAACACAACAGTATGTGGAGTTAAACTGGACAGCCCCAATAACCTCTGAATAGTTCTACTTGTTGTTAAACTGCAATGTGAGCGGCAGCCAACGGGGGTGCATTATGTCGGCAGGATCATTTAAAAGGCAACCGTGACTACATTGTGCGTCTGCCCCATTTCTGATACCGCGGCGGCAGAAATTTAACAGCTGCTCCAAAATCACCATAGAGGAAACACTGATATATTAACCTCTGCTTTAAGGGACACAAACATTTCAGAGCATTTAGTTACATTTAGAGTATGAAAATAACTGAAGCTGACTGCCCAGACATTACTGCTGTTTGTAGTCTGATTATGATTTGATTTTATTTGCATGTCCAGGTGACACTGGGCAGGGACTGAGAGCCTGGGTTCAAGATGTTGCAGTGCCAGATCTGGCCTTCAACCACATCAGAGTTATTTACCCCACAGCTCCAGCCAGGTAGGCCTACCTCTGGGTCACATTTCACTCAATCAAATATCCATATATGTTGTTTTTCTGTTGACCGAACAGGTTGAGTTACTTCTTCATTTACCCAGATTTACTTTAGACATTTACTGGTTTCCAAACTTTCACAGGGGGTCATGAGGCCATCTAGAGTTTAACTAGTGTAAGACAACAAAAAATATTGTGGTAAATTGTAAATGGACTGCCTTTCTAATCTTTCGACCACTGAATGCGCTGTACACTACATGCCACACTCACATTCATACACTGATGGCAGTGGCTGCCATGCAAGGTGCCAACTGCTCATCAGAACGGAAACTGATCATTCACACACAGTCATACATAGAAAGCTGCTTTTAAACCACATGCTATGGCCGGACTCTACTCACTCTTTCTTGGTTTTCCATTATGGATAGTACCTGGTACTTTCTTTGGAACCACCTCGGTCAAAATTCCAAGCAAGCTGAGCTGATCCAAAAGTTGAAAACACTGCAGACCACTGAGTGGTCTTGCAGCATGGGGCATCGTGCACAAAACTAGGTCTGGGAATCGAGAACCGGTTCTAAATTGTCCGATCTATCAGAATTGTATGCCTCTAAGCTTATGAATTGCTTTCATCTATGCCCATCCCATCCCTACACTAACCCCACATTTTGAAATAGTGAAGCTACAATCAGTAGGAAGAAAAGAAAGAAAGTAGAGGTATCAAAGGCAAGAAGAGCCATATGACTTCAAGCGTCAAGGCGGAGTGACCCCATGTGTCCAAAACCGCCCTTGTGGACACGTACCATTGAACACTTGTTTAAGTGTTGATTGTAACAGTATGTCCAATCTGCATAGAGGGAAACATTCCACATAGCTTCTGTTCTTAATGGATTAACTAAAAAGTATTTGAAGCTGCAGCCATGTACCTGACCACTAACCTCATCTTGATGCCATCAGGCCATACACACCCATGAGAGGGTCTCTATCTACCGTCTGGTTTGACCGTTACAAGATCTCACGAGACTGCCAGGAGCACCTGGAGTCCATAGACACCATGTGTACCACCTTAAGGTCTGTCATTCAGGATGAGGTCAACGCTGGGATCCCCAAACACAGGATAGTCATCGGTATGGATCTTGTTTTGACTTCATGTCTGCTATGTGTTAAAATCTGAATGTTTACTATAGACTGTGTACCATTGTGTTTATATAGAGGTCAAGATCAAAACCTGTGCTCTCTGACCGTATCTGGCATTAGTCCAGTACTACCTGTAAACCCTTCTTCCCCCCTCCATCTTTTTCCTCCCCTCCACACACACACACAGTTACACACCTCAGTCCATTTTATCCCGACTGTTCCTCACTCCCTCTGTCATGATATAAAGTAAAGGATGTATCTCATCAGGTTACCGCCTCCTTTCATATGCTGCCAGCAGAGAATAAAAAAGGGTTTTCAGAGGGGATTCTCAGGTCCTGAAAAGCTTTTTCCCCTCAAATATTCTGCTTATCAAATTCACATATAAATAACAATGAAATGAAACCACTCGGATCAAGTACTATCAACATAATGGCTGAGGCAAGGTAAGAGTTCCCACAGGAAACATATGGTAGGACATTGAGTGTTTTAATGTCAGCGAGGGATGGCGGCACATGAAAGGGGAAACAACTGAGGGCAGAGGGAAAAGGGTTAACCTGTAATGTATAACTATATATGCGGGGGGGGATTGTGTGAAAGACTTGCCTCCAGAGAGTGTGAGTGAAAAAACACATGCTCCTGGGAAACAACTGAAATATTATCTTTCTAAATCATAACATTTTGTCATTAACTATAAATACTCAGTGGACTGCGCTGGAGAAATGCAGTGCCGTGTACCCAGAGACCACTTCCCCCAGCTCACACACTGACAAGCGCCAGAAGTTTCCATGGAAAAGGGTTTTGAGGAGGCCGGCCATAGGCTGCTGTGTTTGTGTGTTTCAGTGTGTGGAGGAGGGGTGGGGGTGTTGGGACTGTACTTTTGTGTTTCATTATTGCAATTGTTTTTCTATCTTTTAGATTGTAGATCAGAGCCAGACATATATACATCTGATATATCAGTTGATCATCCAATATTGGACAACTTTTTTTGCTTTAAAGAAACTTCTATTTTTGTTGATTTTGGCGGCCCCTGTGGACAATTTAATTGATTTCAAGGTGAATCCCCACACCCAATAGTTTTTATTGAGAATAACTTTATAGAAATAGCCAGTCATCTCTCTGATGGTCTGGTTTGTTTATGTAGGTCTTATTGCACAGTGTAATGTAGGGTCAACTGGTGGCCCGCCGGCCACATCAATGCTTTCCCTCCAGCCTGCAAAATGGCCACTGATGAAAAAGTATCAATATTTATGTATTTACAGCATTACAAACTGTGGCGAAATACCCAGAGAAAGGCAGTATTAACTTACTGCTAATGCAAACCAAACATTTCCTACTGCTGCAGCTTCACATTACAAACATTTAACTAGATAAACAGAAGCTGACTTTTATTTTGAAGTAGTTACAGGATGCAGTGTGTTTGTCAGTGAGCTTGACACTTGACACTATTGTTTATCAAAACGTGTCTGTAACACAGCAGCCCCTTTCACCGTTTTTTTTGTCAGGTGTAAATATGGAACAAGAAGGAGCAGCCACAGTGAGCTGTTAGAGGATGGGCTGCACACTTCCAGTCTCTCAGCCAGGTAGCCAAAGTTACTTTCAATGCAGCTGTTTTACAGACTCAGATCACGTTGCTCAATGAATTATTATTGCCTGACTTCTTCATTAAAACCACAAAAGTTTGTTTGGCTGCCCCCAGAATTCTGTGAAAGGGATTGGTTGTTCTTGTTGAGGCCCAGTGGATTCTTGCAAATGCCATTAGGAGCACTAGGAGGAGCCAGAAGAACCAGATTATCTGTGTCATGTACTACTGTCAGGATATAGTGAAAGTTTCAGCAAATATGACAAAAAGTATTTTTTATAAAAATGACCTACTGCACACACTTCCATTACTCACCCTGTTTATTTATCTTCACGGTGACTGTTTTTAATGTGCTGCTGCTGCAACAACCCAGGTTCATCATTTCCTTCAGATTTATCTCCCTTTACCTGTATAACTTTAAACAAACATGTACACATGCACGCTGGTAAGTTTGAGTTGAAATACTCATATTCAGATCACTGTCAGTTTCCTTTTGAAATTCTTGGGCCAATATGTGAATTCCACCTCTGCTCTCTTCATCTCTTCAACCCTAACCCTCTTTTTTTTCACCCTCCCTCGTTCCTCAGCTCTCTGACAGAATGATGGGTACTTGCACATTTTCCCAGATGTACACAGTGTGCCCAGATGTACCCAGATGTGTGAGATTAAGGACAGACTCATGAGCTGCTGCTTATTCCGATGCAAAAAAAGCTGATGATGTGGAACTGAGGAGTCCTATCCATCTTAATGTTTTCATAAGTGAAGGATTTTCCACCTCCGACTGCATAAAGTGCCTTTAGTAAGCTGCTGTTACTCATATGGAGATGAATACGTACAGTATATGATGTGACCTATTATACTTACTGTACTAATACTTGTTTCATAGAAAACCCAGAGGTTCAGTGTCTTCCAGCTCATGCAGCAGTTTCTCTTTCTGTCCCTAATAAAAGGGGGGTTCTCGATGGGCGGAGCCATGGCTCTCCACCTGGTGTGTCGGTACCACCCTGACATAGCGGGAGTCTTTGCACTGTCCAGTTTTCTCAACAAGGACTCTGTTGCTTTTCAGGTACATTGGCGGCCATCGCTTTCCATCAAATCCTAAAAAATAGATTGTAACTTGTGAATACATTGAAGGGCTCATGCTGCGTTTTTGCATGTTGTAGCCAATTTACTGCAAAGCACATAGATTTGACATCAATGTACTGTCAAAACACTTAATTATTTAACAGCATAACTGAGGAATATAAGGGGAGATTGTGACCATTTTTCACAGTTGGTCGGACACTGAATTTGAATTTCATCTGAGTGCAAACAATGTATTGGAGCATTAGTCAACATGATGTGTGCTCAGTGGGCTAGTAAAGGCAAAAACACTGAAATGGTTCTTTAAAGCTCCAGTAATAGTTTAATATTGATTCATAGTGTTAAACCCTCATAGAGAAAGACAGCTAACAAAGCTAATTAACGATTGATATAAATTAGCTAGCTAGTTAGCTAGCATTTTGCTAACATTAGCTAACTTAAGAAGTGACCTTAAATATGTCGCTTTTATCTTTTAACCATCCTCTTTTCCATAGATTAGCCTAGCACATAGCATATCTAAGGAGAAAGTTCACAGAGGTTCTGACCGAGGACTGCTCAACTGTCATTGGAGCACAGAGCAAAATACGTGTGCATGACAAATATCTTGAACTTAGGAAGGTTCAAGATATTTGTCATGCACCTTTAAGACTGAGCAGGCATGGTGTTGATGAAATGAGTAGATCAAATGACCTCTGCCTGTTTGCTGAAGGCAGTGGAGGAGCGCTTCAGAGCTGGACTCCCCCTCCCCGAGTTGTTCCAGTGTCATGGGACCAGTGATGACCTGGTGCTGCATCAGTGGGGAGAGGACACGTCGGTGCTGCTGAAGAAGGCTGGCATGAACACTACCTTCCACTCCTTACCAGGCTTGCACCACCAGCTCTCCCAGCCTGAGATGGAGATGCTGAGAAGCTGGATCCTCAAAAGGCTTCCCCCCACCACCTCCTCCTGACTCACTCTACCAACGTTTTCTCACAGAATTAGTGATTGTGTCAATAAAAAGCTGTTTTTTATGTTTGCTGCGTAGTTTGTAGTTTTCATTTAATGTTTGTACCTTTCCTAGACCTGCTCGGCTTTCATCCTTTTATCCAACGCACTTGGGAGGTTGTGCTACTGTGTCACCTGTCATTAATAAACAACCAATACCTGCAGGTTGCATTGGCTGACCATTCAACTGGCTAAGGTACCGTCCCTATGCAGCAAGTCTTGCAGAGCCAATTGATTCATTCTCGTCACATGACCTGTGGATTTTTTTCATCATCATGCACTGCAATGAATGCGTATAGCGTATTTGCAGACGCAAAAGATGCTACATCTGAACAGCCCCTTAAAGAGAGTAAAACAGCATAAACTGATTTATACAATATTTTTTTAATTTATGTTTATTTTTTTCTTAATAGAAACATCTGGCTGGCCAAATTGGAGATTATGGCAGGAGGAGTACATGCATTTTAAGGATGTGGAAACTATACTTTTTTCCAGAAAAAAACATGTGAGACACACGTGTTGTTGGAGAGGATCTTTAAAACTGTCAGCATGTAGCGGGGTGATACGTAGGCATAATAGCAGTGAGTATATTGAACATAATCTCCTCAGATTGCTGATCATGTAATTTAGCTGAAATTGATTAAACAGAACAGCACATTATAGAAAAAAGGGGTTTAGAAGCTAAACAGAGGGAGGTCCATTTGTCCAAGCCTGACCTACAGCAGTAGTTGTGGGCTTCTAGCTCAGTGTCTAAAACCAAGGTTCTAAAGCCGTGGCTACAGCCCTGATTACTGCTTATACACAAATATTAATAAAGAAATGGTTAGACTATGCAAAAAAATTATCTGTTTATGTAGCTTGAGAAACAGCAGATTCACCATCATGAATCAAAAAAATCTATAAATTATAGTGATGTTTAAAGCTGGGGAAGTGCAGGGTGTTTTGCATCATTGGGCAAAAATTCCATAACAACCTTTCAGCATATTGTAATTCCAGTGGTCTGAGAGAAAGCTAGACTTCTGCACCTTCCTCTTGGCTCTGTTTTGTGGCTTTAGAAATTCAGATCTAAATGTTTTCACATCCATCCACAATCCTCTTCGGTAAAATCACAACTGTATATGCTGTTAGAAATAAAGTTTAAACTGGCTGTATTTAAGCTGCACGGTCACATATATTTTGTGTGTACACAGCCTTCAACCATTATTCTAACTAGAATGGGATATGTATCTAGCTTCGTGTCGATGGCCAAATGACAGTGGGCCTCAGCCAATTAGGAAGCGTCATGCTGATGGATGTGGAGTGGTCTGAAAGAGAAAGGTTTGCAGACACAATATTTCCTTCATCCAACAGTGTGTCCTCTGTGAAGTGACCTGTCCTGTGCTGAAGGATGCTAAATATAGAAAAGATATTTTATAATGGCGGAGGAATGTCGTGAATTATTATGTGGTTGAAACACTTGTGTTAAAGTAGTGCGATGGCTCTTCCAGGGGTTTTGAACAGAGCCTTCACACGTGGAAAAAATAGACTTGAAAAATAGGGGCGACAGTAGCTCAGTGTGTAGGGACTTGGCTTGGGACCCGGAGGGTTGCCAGTTCAAGTTTCACAGACCACAATACAGAGTATGGACTGGTAGCTGGAGAGGTGCCAGTTTCACCTCCTGTGCACTGCCGAGGTGCCCTTGAGCAAGGCAACCTAACCCCAAGAAACTGCTCATGGGGTGGGTTTATGTATTTTCTGTGTGTGAGTGTGTGTATAAAAAAAGTGAAAAGAACAATTTCCCCTTGGGGATTAATAAAGTATGAGTGTATCTTCTTCAAAGGTGAAAATAGATTTGTGCAGGAAAAGTGGGGTGAAGTGAGGGCAGTTGTGCATAATAGACTATTTTTCTCAGGCGGTTTGGTGAGTTATGGACTCTTTTGGAGTCACTGTACTTCATTAGTGAGTGTTTCTGTGCAGCAGAATACATTATTATGGTGATCTCAGACAAACCACACTGAGCTCTCGTGCACTTAGAGTGTTGTGAAGACTGTTCCAGCACTGTCTGCTTCATGCCTTAGTTAATCATTCCCTAACTCTTCCTGACACCAGGAGCAACACACAAAGGCCAAATAAAGTAACGCCGGTGTATCTGGTAGGCATGGGATGATTTGGGATTTGAGAAAATTAAATGTCAAAATATCTTGACCAAGATAATTGTAATTTACAGTATTATTGCGATAATCATAAAATGCCACAAAAACATACTGGAATCACTTTACATTATATTTCTATTGCATCCCCGACAGGACACCTCAGATGCACCTCCTATGGCATAACCATGCATTCTTTGGGGTCACCCCTAATACTGAAAATGTACCAATCTCTCCCCAGCAATATAGAGTAGAAAATATGTTAAATATGTCCTCTTTTTTTGAGCACCGTCTCTTGAAATTTGTTTTCTTTGGAGTAAAAAATAGCTTGGAACACTGATGGACAGTTGGCCAGGAAAGCAGGGGCCCAGCTGGGAATGCTGGCGGTGAAATGTGCACCAGAACCGGACGGAGCCAGGTGAGCGGACAATGGAACCAGGCTCAGCTAAAAAGACTGCTAGCTGCATGGCTAACTGAGCTAACTTAGCACAACAGTTAGTGGTTACTTCTGCAACAAGTAAAGCTATCTGTCTCAAGAAACTCCACAATCAGAGAGTGGAGGCAGTATTGATTTCTTTTTATTGGTATCATATTGCATACTGCCGTGTAGCATGTAGCAGGCAGTTCCAAATACAGCCATTATATAACAAATGTGAAAATCCCTTTTAAAATTTTTAAAAATAGGATGCCATGAGATCTGAACTGGACTTTAAGGCTCATCAAGAAACAGTGAACATGGCTGAGGCAGTGCACAAGGACACAAACAATGTATCTTGCTGCAATGAAACAGTTATTACTACATCCATGGCTGTCCTCATTCCAACATATAAACTGAAGGTCCAAAAAGCTCTGGCAGCTCTGCAGCTGCTTTTATAGTGCCAATGAGGCCATTTGAATTCAACTGGGATTTGAGACTTATGCAACATCCTGTTCTCAACATCAGCAAGGAAGCATTAACCTACAGCATCTGTTTTATCCCTGCAGTGTGTGCCTGACTCTGAACTGATGAGTTCTCTCTGTGCTCAACAGGTTCTGAGAAATATGGCGTGTTCCAGTGCGGGGGAGAAATGTCTTTCTTCCTTCAAACAGTGGATGCAGTCATCCGAGAAAAGATAATCACCTGACAAATCATCTGCAAACACTTCTCTGCCCTTCTTCTGCTCAATCATTCATTCTCTTCTTTCTTCTCACCTTCTTTTGTTCTCTCTGTTGACTGTCCTCTCCTGCAGGGAGGATGGATCAGTTGCACTTTGATTAGGCAACAGTGTTGAGATCATTTGGAGTGGATTAGTGTGGACGGATGGATGGGAGGGGGTGGGAGGTGGGGGGTGCGGGGCTCAAACAGGGCCTTTGCATGAGGAGGTGGAAGCAAGGGGAAGAGAAGGGAGGCACAGCCAAAGCAAACAGAAGGAGCTCAGAGTTTCGTTCTAGCCTCGGTCGCTGATTACTTCCAGCTACGTGTGAAAGAATGCTACTGTTGAGCAGCCAGCAGCAACCCTCCCACCCGACACCCCCACTGATCAACTGGCAACCTCCCCTTCATCCCTCAGCCCTCGCTTACCTCCTCTCCCTTTCCTCGCTCCTGTCCCTCCCACTCACTGGCTGAGCAGACCCTGGGCTGCATTTCATGATTTAATGACAGGAATGGTCCCCTTCCTCGGTGAAATAAGGTAAGCAGAGCAAGCACAACATTTTGTGAAGAATTTTAGCTTAAATGAGGTTCCTGCTGATGAATGTCTCAGCACTCCTGAATACTGTGGTGTGTAAAGTGCAGACCAGCCACACAATGCTGCCTCACTCCACATCTTCCCTCAATTACCCTCTTCTTCAGCTTACTTCCACCCTCCCCCAGGCCTATAGTGCGTCCCCTGTTGGTCAAATGATGATGTGCTCCTCGGCCTATGTGTCAGTGGGAAGGAATGCTAATCTGGACGAGTTGCGGACTGCAAAGTCTAAGTTTTTTTGGCTGCCAGTTTCCACTGCGCAGTACTTTCCATGTGGAGCGGCTCCAGAGTGGCCGGGCTACAGAAGGAATTCCCGGCCGAGGGAGCCGAGGTGTTGACAGATTCCAGATTGCTCATCTGACCACACCTCCTCAATAAAGATCTCGGGCTGATGGGATGATCACAGTATCAGGGCTTTATTCATCTGTATGGATGATAAGGGCTGACAGGTAAAGACTGTACAAACTTGAAGTCAGTAGTGGAGTTGAAGGCATGTCTTTAACTGGTGGGAGATCTTTGGTTATGGCAAAACGGGACACATGCCATGCCTTGAATGTTTCTTAGAGATCACATTGATGGGTATTTAAAGTTACAACGAAAAAATCAAATAGAGGAATCAAAATTGAGTCAAGGCAGAGTTTACTTCCTTCTACCATGATGCAGACCAAATGATAGCTTGTCAGCCATTTGTTATCCTACTTCTTTTTTCACAAGAATGGAGCAGATGGGGCTGGTTGGAGTTTTGTGGTGGCAAGTAATATCAGAGGCAGAAGAGTGCCATAGTGATCCACCATGAGCCCATTTTTATGGGGTTTACTGATATCAAAAATAGAAACATGTTAATTGAGGTATAAATGTACAAAGAATGCATTGCAGTCAAAATGTAATTTGATCAGCCAGACAACATCTGGAGGTTGTGAAGCTCACATTGTGATCAGATCACAGCCAGGTGTAAATGGCATCTGTACAGATTGACCCCATTCACAAAGAAGTCCAGCCAATAAGTTAAAATATCACCTAACTTTGCCTCCATCAAAAAGCTACAGACAAGCCCTTTCTCAACAAATAAGAATTGCAGATAGAGCTAGCACTACTGTTAGTGAGCTCTGTACTGGCTTACAACAGTAAGTAATGTTAGCCTAGCTGGAGCAAAGATTCCTTCAACATTCTGAGTTTAT